TCAGCAGAGCACTTAAGCATCTGCTTAACTATCTTTAAGCAAACGAAGCCAGTACAGTGTAAATTCAGGCTTTGAATGCTCTTCTGCGTCTGGTGCAGGGCTATGAAAACTTCTGGGGTGCACTATGGGGTCACGGGTGCAGGACAACTGCAGTTCTGCCCCAGTCCAACATCCGTTTTCTGGTGCCTCTTCGCACTGGGAACATGCCTGTTCTGCAGAAGGCAGCGAGCTGTCAGACATCGCCCAGCCACACATGTCGCTCTAAGTTTGGTTCTTGCATCAGTGAGATGTTGTAATTAAAAAGCTTTGCCAGGCAAAGCAGGGGAAACTCTGAGCAGAGCAGGAAGGAGGAAGCAATGCGAGTCAATGGAAAGAAGGGACAATTTGTGCGTTTGTGAGCTGTATGGAGGGTTAAGCATCAGCAACCCCTTCTGCTCACATGAACTCATGAAAAAGCAGGCTTGAATTTATCTCATTTGCACCTTAACTTGACCCAAGCTACTGAAGTCTCGTCTCCACCCTTGATCCCACAGATAGGTTCCTCCCTCTCTCGCACATAGTCAAGCCACAAGCCAGGTCATGAGAATGGGCCTGCTGAAAATAGACCTAACAACAGAAGTGTTTTATTTTCACTTCCATGAAAATATGGAAACGTTGCACTCCCATCTCTCCTGCCCACCCGTGTGTTTGCTGGCGTCGGGGAGGGACAGGAGCAGCCGGGCTGGAGGAGATGCTGGGGCTGCGGTGGCTCCTGCTCAAGGCAGCCCTAGAGCCTCGGGGCATCGGCACCAGCTGCAGCTGAGCTGAATTGAATCCCCCAGACAGGAGATATGTCCCCCACCTCCACTCTTCTCTCACTTGCGCCTCTCTGCTCTGCTCACTCATCTCCTGCCGGGCTGTGAAACTGTGCTCGGCCGGGAAGCGCTGGTGTCGCAAATGGCCTCAGTAGAGTCTCCCACCTTCCCTGGCCATGTCTGTCTAATACCAGCCAAGTCTGTGTGCTGTGAGAGCAGGCCCACGATCCAGCGCACCATGGGATGCGAGCCACCAGCCTGGTCCAGCCCTTCCAGGGAGATCTGGAGATTCCTCAGAGCATGAGACAGGGACAGAGCCAGGGAGCAGCATGAGATGAATACTACTTCCATGGGAAAAAACTCACTTGAAGTGAGACGTTTCACCCTCCCTAATGACAGCAGTGCAGAGGGAGGTGTACATATATAAGGATATATAGCTCACTCTTGGCTTTCCCTGAAGCTGTGGCATGTTCTAGTGATCTCACCCAGGATGCAAAGGAGGAGGCTACATAGCCCAGCGAGCCCAAGTGATCCAAGACCATCAGGAAGGAGAGGCTGGTTCCCATCAAGAAAACACTGCCCAACCTAGTCCTCTTTGATGAGGTCCCCTTAAATGACGTAGGCCGAGTGATAACCCCTGGGTCAGAGGCCTCAGTGACAACTGGACATCTTCGTCTGGATCCCACCACAGCTCTGTCACCATGATACCTGCTCCAGCACCCAGTCCTTATCCCAGCTCTCCCTGTGCTCTGGCAATGCACTGCACAGTGAGCATGAGGAGATCCACAGCCTACAGAGTCACTGGCTTAAAAATGTGTAAAAATACAGAGTGGTTTTTTTTTCTTCTTTTAAGAGAAGTGGCCCAACAGCTGGATGTGCCCAGGGAATCATTCACTACTGGAAAGCAAAAACCACAGTAGCTTTTGGTGAAAGCAGTTTAAGTAGAGAAAATATACAGCATCTGTGGGAAAAAAAAAAAAAAAAGAAGTAACTGTTAAGATTCTGGGATGAAATCGTGCAATTTATCAAGTTACCTACTCATATTGTTATAGTAATGTTTTAATGTTTTTCCTGATGTTTCATCGTTATATATATATCTTTTATTAGAATTCTAAATTGCAGAGCAGTTTGGGTGCACTGAGACTGGATACGTGATAAAACTCAGCTGGTAATTTGTAGCCTGTCAGAGGTCTGTCTGATGTATTTAGACATATGATTGATACTCTCTGTTTTAGTGTCATTAGATAAAACGTGTTTGTCATGTGCTCATGATACATTATCTCGCAGTGCTGCATTTCTGCAGCAGTTAACATCCTGACACAAGACTATTGCTTAAGTGGGGAAAACACAATATGGTACATAAAGATCGGTGAACAAGATAGGTGTCCTTATGCTAGGCCCTCAGAATATTTCTTGCAACTGGAGCATCATCATTACTTATTTACAGTTTCTACTGACTCATCTAGCAGCTTTAACACCCAACTCAAGCCGAGAAGAGAAATGTGTTGCTCTGGGTGGGGGATTTCTCCATTCAGCTCAGATACTGGTTTGGAATAAACCCTCTTTTTCTTTAATTCTCTGAGAAAGGAGTAAAAAGGTGGCACAACAAATGCTGCAGAGCCATGGCCATAGGAGCCAGCAACCATTTCACAAAGCCAAGAAATATCCCTAAATTGCATCTCCTCTCCAACCCCGTTTCTTGTTCACACAGCTTTCTTTGCTAGCAAAGTGGAGCACGAAAGCAAGCACTGCAACGGCAAAGGCTTCCAGCGGCCGGCATCCTCCGCCTTCGACCGCGTCTACACTGCCAAGTGAGTAGCCAAGCCCCGCGCAGCGGCCGGGCGCCTCTGCCATCCTTGAGGTTTCCTCCAGCCAAGGGTGGGCTCCAAAGAACCCAGGAGCAGCCCTGTTGCTGTGTGCCCAGCAACAGCGTTTGGACACAGGGCTCTCGAGTACTTTCCCGGTTAGCCTGGCTCTGCTCCAGGCTCCGTGTGCTTGTACTGGCCTAGCAGCTCCTTGGGGATAGCGCTCCTCCCCTCCTTTGGGAAGCAGCTCTCCCAGCAGGCCCTAGAGCCTCAGTACGATAGGAGCACAGCCTGTGGCCCAAAGACACCTGAGCTCTGCAGGGAAGGTGGGAAGGCAGAGCAGAGAGGTGCAACGTGCTCAATAACAGGCCAGCGGCAGCACTCATAGTGAATGTCGGCGCCTAGGCCCCAGGCAGGCCCTGCAGCACTTGGCTCTTCACCTCTTTCCTTAGGCCTTGTCTTTGACATCCCTTACAAGAAAGCAGACGGGAAAATTGTTTCCAATCCAGAAGGCAAAGAAAAAAACTATTTCTTATTGCACACAAAGTACTGACAGTGTGAATGAAACAATCTAGAAGACCAAAATCCTGCCCTTCACAGGGGCGCAGCTGCCAACAAGGTAGGATTTCCCCCTGGAAAAGCATTTCCTTCTGAAGGAAGGAGTTGGAAACAACTCTTGGTCATGCAGTGAGCTGTGTAAACTTTGTCAGACACCCCAGCTTGCTGCGCACTTTTCCTCTGGCCAATACCCTGAGTAATATGACCTGGCTCTAAGCATTTTCCAAGGAGCACAGAACCAGCTGCACAAGGTAAAGAGGGGGCGGCTTGGGCACCACCAGGCAGGCACATTTGCGGGGTAGCTGGATGCCAGGCAGGGAGCAGGGAAGCGAAGCCGCCCGGTTTGGGCATGGACACGCAGACCAGCGCCATGGCCGGGCACCCAGGCAGCTCGACACGCGCTGCCGCACCGTGACAGCTGCCTAACGTGGCCATGGAACAAACAGAAAGGAGGAGAAGCACAAATTCACACCTGCAAAACGGAGCGGCTCCCTCTGTTTCCCCTCTCTTCTCATTCCTCCCATGTAAATTCCTTTCCAGCCAGAACTGTGGACATACCTACCCCACGTTTCTCGCCGTGCTGTGGTGTGCTGGGCTGCTTTGTAGCCAAGGTAACACACTTTTTTTTTTTTTGGCCGTTTTTTGCTTTTTCTTTCTCCTTCAATCTTCAGTGGCTGGGGAACAAACAGGGCACACGGAGATGCTGCCAGACTGCAGAGGAGAGTCGGCCATGCTCAGGCATCGGCTCCACTCACCTCCCCACATGTCACGTCACCCACAGGGACTGGCTGAAATTAAGCAGGGAGCCGATTTCTTGAAGGAAAAGAGAGTTTAGGAGCCTGAATGTTGGGCATGCCGTGGTTTTCACTCTCCAGAGCGGTAATAGGCTCACTTGAGCAAGCAGCCTTGGAGGAGGCTGTGAGGAAGTGGCTAAGGCCAGTGGTCGGAGGCAGGGAGAAGGTGCCCAGGATGGGGGCAGGAGGGTGAAAGTGGCATTGCCACCTCCTGTCCTAGGACAAGCGCTGCTCACAAGGTGTTTACTGGCATACCTAAATATGCTCCCATTGAATGCAGCAGGACTCTTCCCAAATTTAAGGTCAGGAGCATGTATAAATACTTTCCTAGGGTATTTGAGTATTTTTTTCTGGAAAAGTGGAGTGTCTTGTTTGGGAGAAAAGGGGCTTTTGCCTGCATGTGTGGGGAAAGCTAGAATCAGGCAGGGGAGGAGTATGCTCCTGTGTGCTCAAAAATGCATACGGAGACATAATACAGTCCTTCACCTGCTCCTGAAAAAGTGCATTTTTTGGTCATCTTTTATTTCTGGTGAAACTGGTGGTGAAGCTGGCACTCTCCTCAGGCACCGCGTGGCCTGCAGCAGATTTCCAGCTGTGGCAAGTGTGCCGAGGGCAGAATCAGACCCACAGAGTGTCCTGAAAAAGTGGAGTAGTGCTGCAGAAACGTCTCCTGTTTTCCACACCATGTTTTCTGTCCATGTTTCCACTGCTCATATCATAGCTCAAGGCCACAGTTTCTCCACAGCCCTGCCTGGCACAGGCAGCAGACAGGGACAGCATGTACAGCCTTTGTAACAATGTTTTATCCTTTGCTCAGCGCCTGCCGCCTTTGCGGGGCTGATGTACCTGTTTGTGAGGCAGAAGTACTTTGTGGGCTACCTCGGCGAAAGGACCCAGAGGTGAGAATGTGCAGACCCCCTTTTCAAACCTTTGCCCTGTTGCTTTCCCTGCTTACAGCATATGCAAATGCTCACATGTGTGCTTGTGTTTCTGTTTGCACAATATCTTCCTTTCTCACTAATAAAGCTAATTTTGCACACATGGAACAAAATTGCCCCATCGCCTTTGATGGCTGAGAAGACATATGGGTCTCTTTGAATAGCTGGTGCTGTAAGAAGCAGCCTGTGATGAGCACAGAGGGCCTAATCCAGACCCACGCTGCTGCTGAGACCTCCCACTGGCATTTAAAGGCTTGTAGCTGCCCTTTGCAGAAATGCAAGTCAGAACAGAAATGGGCCATCTCCATCCCGCCTCCTGAGAGCTCTCATTTGGTCTTGACAACAAACTGTGCAGTCTGAGGACTTCTTAAACAAGATTATGTATTTTAATGAGTTGCTTTTCTCCCTTTCTGTCTCCTCAGCACTCCTGGACACTTATTTGGGAAGCGCATCCTTTTGTTCCTGTTCCTCATGTCTGTGGCTGGAATACTCAACTACTATCTCATCTTCTTTTTTGGCAGTGACTTTGAAATGCACATAAAAACGATCACCAGTGCAATCTCTCCACTGCTGCTCATTCCCTAACTTTTCATTGCAATGAGGGGGTCAGCATGCTTAATATATTGATGCCCAGGAGCAGCCATAATTCAACTGTTTAAGAAATGAACCTGTAACCCTTTTAGATTGCTGTAAATCTAACGCTCAGTGGGCTTTGTAGTTTGATGTAACCTTGCTTTTTCCTTCAAGAAAAAGATTTATTGTGAGCACTCAGCATGCCCAAGGAATGGTAACAACTTCCAGTTAATTCTTTAGATTCTTTCTGCAAATTGCACTTTTAAAGCTGATTTCATGACTGTGAGGAATATTTTACGCTTTCAGGGTAACTGTGCTGTACTTAGCTCTTGTCATGAAAACCAGGAGCCTCACAGTCTCACTTGTGTGCAGCCATCCTGACAGATGTGCAGCTGCAGCTGCATTCTGCAGTTATCCTCGCACACGGGATTTCACCCACGCAAACGTACAGACCAGCCTCTTCACCTGCCCTGTCCTTTGCACTTGGGGGTGACCATGCTCCCACCAGTGCCAGAGGATGGTGAATTGGCCCTGTCTGATCTTCCTGCATAGATATTCACATGCATAATTCTCCTAACACTGGTCTCATTTACACCTTTCTATGCTTCCAGAGGTGTGGGAAGTGATCATGTGTAAACGAGGATCTGGTATTTGTGATGGGGTTGGTTTGGTTTTGTTTAATAAAGCAGTCCAAGAGGATGAAACCTGCTTTCTCCCGTGTGTTTGCACAGCTCTCGATCGCGGCCCTCCAAGGCCCGGACGTGCCAGTGCAGGGAGCAATGACAGGCCAGCTCCTGCAAGGGAGCAGCGCTGCCTCTGCGTGTGCCCTGAGCACCGGCTGCAAAGGATGCACGCTGAACAGCTCCTTCTCTATCAGCAAGTTTAGTTCTCTGCCTCCGTCACTTACAATGTGCCCCTACAAGTCAATATCAAGGAAGAGTTTGATTTCTAGAGGCAGGCAAACAGGCAGGCACAATCTTTTTAAACATTGCTACCATATGAATGCTTAAGCTCTTAAGCCTGTCTGATTACCACATGCAGGATGGATAAAGCTGCATTTTATGACTCCTCTGGGAGGGAAGGAGTCTGCTAGCTACGTGAGGAGAGAGTCTGCAGAGCTGTTTTCAGAGAGGATCCAAGAAAGCAGCCTGCCTTTGTACCAAGGCTTATGGGCTTGTTCCCAGGCTGATGTGCTGCAGAGGTGCTTGTGAGTGCTGCTCTCTTTGACATCAGCCCCTGTTATCTCTGTACTGGCAGTGCCAAAATAACACATGCTTTTTTTTTTTTTTTCCCCTCTTATCTTGTGCAAGAATGCTAGACATGAAAGGCTAGTTATAAACATGCTTATTGCATGAAGATCAGCAAATAAATGCTCCAACTAGTTAGCAGAGGTAATAAAAAGATGCATTTTTACAATTCTAACAGCTGCAAAAACATCGTATTTCCTGGTATAGTGCTTATATTCCTTTTCTCCCTTTATTTTCAAAACATCCTAAGACACCTCAGAAACCTGTTTTGCACTGTGCTTTTCTCCCTGTTTCTCTCCCCTTAGCCCATCCGCTGTCTCAGTGTCCTCTGTGGCCACCTGCGCCCCTCGAGTGACTTGAGTGGAGGGGGAAGGTGACGGTCCTTTCTGGAGACCACTGCTTGTTGGAGGAGGCCGTCCCAACCCTACATGTCTGCCTGGCAGGTCCTGACAGCCTCCCAGGCTCCCTTTGTGTCCTCTGTGTGACAGAACACCCCATCTGCCCTCTTTTTGACATGTCCTGGTAGCACACCCCGTCTGGCCTCTTTTTGACACATCCTGGTAGCATCCATGAAGTTCTTCACTGATTACACAGGGCAAAGAAGTCAGATTTCTAATATGGGTCACAGATGATCCATCCCAACCTGCTCAGACTTCTTCATTGACTGCGTGGCTAATTTTACACAGCTGCATTTAGTTGAGATCAGTTCCGACCTAAGTATCTTCATAGTGAATGAAGTCAGGGTCATCTTTTTCTGTAACCATTTAAATTTGGAAAAATTTCACTTGCTTCCTCAAAGCCTTTCTGATAATGAAAGAAATGAAAATGTAGGCAAAACATGCTTTATATCTGTCTATAAATGAAAATGACAATACTATCAATCAGATAAAAAGGTGGTAGGTATGTCATTATGTAAATTGTTCAGTGAATGTCACAGTGTTTCCTATGTTACAGCCAAGGCTTGCGGTTGCCTTTACCTTTTCATTCTTTCTAAGAAGAGAAGATGGTATCAGAGTTACTCGGGCTTCCCCCACTGTGTTACAGAACTACAGCTTTTGCTTTCAGCAAAACCAGGCCCTCGTGCTTTGCACACCGTCTGCTTCGAAAGCTATGAATACACATTCACACGCAAAAACACGTGTAAAAGAGCACTGTAAAAGACAGTGGGCACATAGCACGGTCATATAGGTGCAAACCTGTTTGGCCCACAGACCTGCGCTACGCCTGGGGACACGAGGGCCAGCAGAAGCATCAGCCTGTGTTGCTGCTGCTGTGTCAGGCTGGCTAGAGCCTGTGTTTCACTGAACGCATAGCACAGCTCCTGAGGCTCCTGAGGCTCGGTGTGAGTGACCATCACATTGTCATCCCTGGTGTCATTGGCCTGGTGACATTAACTGGCACCTTCCCAGAGTGTGACCCTGGCTCCACCGGCAGCGCCAAGCTCTGTCCAGGACGTGCAAGCGCCACGTCGGGCGGCCCTGCCTGCCATGTGCCCATGCAGCCCAACACCCTGCAGGGAGCTGCTCTTCCCACTGGTCACTCTCAGGTAAATTAAATTAATTTAAGAACCCCTGGTGAGAAAATGGAAGATTTTTTTACAACCCTGTCTGACATCCGCATTCATGCTCACGGGCTCCCAGCAGATCTCAGAAGGCTGTTCGTGCATCTACGTACAAGATAACTCAAATAACCCTATTCTGTCTGTGTGTATAGGTGCAGACACAGTGTGTATTCGTGTCGTGCTGCTCTATGTTGTAGTGGCTGAATCACCCGAATGTCAGAGGGTTTTCAGGAAAGA